CTTGATCACTGAGGGTTTTTCCACAAAGGTCACAGTGAAACTCTTTCCCACCACCACAGTGACGACAGGGTTGAGAACTGGATCCATCTGTGTCGCTCTGCTTCAAAACAAAGACACAAAGACAGTGTAAGTCAGTCCTTCAACATTTTGATCCTGAACGTTGCCTAATCAGACTTGTTACACTCAGGCTAAAATTCAGGAATAAAATATAAATACATACCTCACAGTAACTGCACTTGTAGAGTTATTTTCTGGTGTGGACGTGTTGGTGTTTTTCCAGGTGACGTGGAGACTTAAAAGTCTTATCACACAGGTCACATTTATAAGGTCTTTCTTCAGTGTGGGTAAACATGTGGCGCTGTAACTGTGTGGCTGTTGTAAAGTGTTTCCCACACTGATCACAGCAGTAAACATCATTTCCAGTGTGAATCCGTAGGTGAATATTTCGGCTGCCTGGCTGGCTGAAATTTTTTCCACAAATGTCACAGCTGTACGCCTTAATTCCAGAGTGGGTGAGTTGGTGTCTTTTTAAGCTTATAGCCAGGGTAAAAGACTTTCCACACAAGTCACAGCAGTATGCTTTAAATTCACTGTGGATGAGTTGATGTGTTTTTAAGCTTTCAGCCAGGCTAAAAGACTTTCCACAGAAGTCACAGCTGTGTGCTTTAACTCCACTGTGGATGAGTTGGTGTCTTTTTAAGTTTGCAGCTAGGTTAAAAGATTTTCCACACAACTCACAGCTGTGTGCTTTAACTCCACTGTGGGTAAGTTGATGTGTTTTTAAGTTTCCAGCTAGGTTAAAAGATTTTCCACACAAGTTACAGCTGTGTGCTTTAACTCCACTGTGGATGACTTGGTGTGTTTTTAAATTTTCAGGCAGGGCAAAAGATGTTCCACACAAGTCACAGCTGTGTGCTTTTACTCCACTGTGGATGAGTTTGTGTCTTTTTAAGCTGTCGGCCCGGATAAAACCCTTCCCACAGTCATCACAGCTGTAGTTTTTCCGTCCAGTTCTTCTGTGAGGTTTGTCGGCCTCCTGAGAGCGCTCACTTCTCGCTCCATGTTGGTCCTGCAGTGACAGAGATACAAACAGAGGCAGTGAGTGAAATGCAGTCGTGGAACAAACTGAACTCCATTAGTGGAATCAAAGATGTCAACAAACACGTCGTAGGTGTGTTGCCACCACCTTCTGGTAATACTATCACATTACAATGATGTGCTACAATGAGAGTTGGAATTAAAATGACATTATTGAAGAAATATTGATCACGGGAAAAAAAATCTTTTACTTGATGAAAAATTGTGAGTTCAACTGATGCTATTGTTTCAATGTGTGCTGATTAAATATGATCTTTATATTTTCTTGTAACTTCTGTGGTTTTTTTCAGCGTAATACTTAGGTCCCCTCCTCGATTCAGAGATGGTCTTTCCCTTTTCACGTAAATGGCCTCCTTGACTCAAACCAGAGTTCCTCCCTGTCCTGCCTGTAGGTTTAAATAGACTTCAGAGTCCTGACCTGACGAAGCAGCTCTTCTGTGTTGTGCCATCCTCTTAGCCAGAGGTTGTTTTACTCTGTTTGTGTCCTTGGGGTGGACCAATTTTTGGAGCAGCGTGTTTTGGGGTTTAAAAGCCACCAAGATGCTTTGAAAAAACGAGTCTCTGCGGTTCCGATACTCCTGACACAAATGGGATCAGAACGAGTTTTTACATAGGCAGCGGTTGTCCTTCTCACCTGGATCAGCTGGAACTTTCTTTAGGTGCCTTCCCAGTTTTGACAAATGTCCAGCTAGAATAACCACATTTACTCAGGGGCTTCTTGATGGCATATTCTTCTACTTCCTGGCCGTTGTGTCAGTAGGGATGGTGTTTGCTCTGTGTTCATGCTCCAGTGGATGATGAGAGTCAAACCTTAAATACTGATCTGTATGCGTAGGTTTAGGGTAAACATCAGCTTTTAGATGTCCCCCATTACTGATAGAAATCTCACAGGCTAAGAAGGCTAACCTGCCACTTTTCATATCCTCCCTGGTGAATTTGATGTGTCGGTGCACCGAGTTAATGTGATGCCTGAAATGTGGTACGTGCTGAGTTTGATTTTCACCCAGGTGTCATCCACATACCTGAACCAATGACTTGGTGGTGATGGATCATCTGCAACTGGAAACGCTACATCAAAATGAACAGAGTCAACTTTTGGGGATTCTGTGGTTTCTGTTTATGAAGTACATTCTGTATGTGTGGAGGAGCCCAGGATGGAAAAGATAAAGCTGCTGTTAACATCCAGCTGTGCACAGTTTCAATAACAGT